ACTATCCTTAGTCACCCTCGCTCTGTATGCATGTGTGTGTGTGTGTGTGTGTGTGTGTGTGTGTACAGTGCCTAGAGGATGGAACCCCAATCCCAGGTGAAGCCTCTAGGTTTTCACTGTAGTATACATGCTAAATAGTAACATTAACGTGGGTGTCATACACAGAAGGCACCTCAGCTCTCACCACCTTGCAATTTCTGCTAATGAATTTATACATCATGCAACGTAGCATAATTAAACCTTGTAGGACCCTGCATAAGAGAGCCCACCAGGCCAGATGAACAACTGCCCAGTACCAAGTCCTGTTCGAGTGATAAGAAAGGGGAAATGTTGTGGGTTTTGGAGAAACGTGATGTTGTATTTTGCACTCCACAGTCAGTATTGCATAGAGCTGTTTGGAAAACTCATTTTTCATGTGAAAATATTAATTACAGTAGGGTTGCAACCAAATTATTCTGAGCAGTGACAAAGTAGTTGCCCGTAGTTTTGACAAGACAGTTTCCCCAACCGAATACAAAGAGACCTGGATAAAGGAGAAGAGAGGAGAGCGGAAAAAGAAAGTAAAAATAAGAGGCTCATTTAAGTGGTAGGTGGTGGTGGTTGTCAGCTTCAGGGTGAATGGTAGCTCTTTCCTCAGGCAGGCAGAATCCCTGGTCCATCTGAGATCCAGTTGGAAGACTGGATTGGAGGGGAGGTCAAGATGATGGATAAAGTTTCCTTCTCTTCCCCAAAGGAGAGAACAGACAGCATCAGATGAACAGGCAAAAAATAAACCCAGGATCATCTAAGGTAGTGTTGTTAAACCCAAGAAACACTATGGCCTGAGGTTCAATAGGCTTTGCACCTATTACAGCCAGAATGTAGAGTGGAGAATAAAACAAAAGTAAAGGATAGAGGCAGAGCAGAAAAGAACAGCTGTTCAAGAACAAGTCCCTCTATTTATGCCAGGGTCCACCAATGTGCCGACAAGACCTCCTGGTCACCATTAACACAGGCTTGAATGTAAAAGGTTACCACATGCGCTATGGGTTGGACTACACTGAGTATGTCCTTTACTTGGGAGGTATCATTTTAACATATATTTCTTTGGGCCAAAATGATCCAACCCGTGTGCCTAAAGTTAGCTCTTAAATCCATGTTTGGCAACGAAGTAAAAATGGTCTGATTTTCAGAGGGCCTGAGCATCTTCATCTCCTATGGATTTCAGTGCAGTTAGTGGGTGTCCAGCAGCTGTGGAAATCAGCCCCCCGTATAGATTTAGTAGTCTAACTTCAGGCACCCAGGTTTGGAAGTGTTGTTCTCAGGTGTTGAATAGCAAAAGGTGTGTTAGAAGAGATGTTTTCCTTCTTATGTCATTCTCCCCATTGAATCAATGGAGAATTCATCTCCCATCAGATGTTGTCCTGTAATATGCTTTTAATGGAAAACCCTTTGTTATCTCTCTGCATATGGTGGCAATAATAACAACATCTATCTGTGTAAGGAGAGGCATCATAACATTTGCGTTACCCCATGGCACTCCTACTGACCAGTTAAGACTGATTTCAAAGAGTGATCAAACAGCAAACCCCTGTTAGTCTGTGCGCTCCCCCTCTTCCATACTCGAGAATTCCCTACAGCACATGGGCTATATGTTTGCTTGCAGCCTCCCTCCCGATTCGTAGCAGCTAGTGCAGGGGTTTCTCACTGTGTTGTAACAGTTTCCCACACTCTGCATATAGTTCCAGACACAGAGCAGGTTTTTAGCACCCTGTGAGCTGGACAGCAGCAATCCTACGGATACTGTGCTTGTCTACATGAAGCAGTTGCTGCACTACAGAAGCTGTCCTTGAACAGTGTAGGTAGGATTCAGTACAATGTGAGAGGGAAGCTGACGGTTCATTGACAATAATAATCTCCAGCCTTATCTGCTTCAGCTGCACTACTAGTGAGAGTGTAATCGGAGTCGCTGCTCCCAGACTGACTGCAACGGCACTGGGCTGGGACCCCAGAGGTGAGGATAGAGCCAGAATACATAAGAAATGTAGGAGCTTGTCCTGATTTTTGTTGGTTCCAGACTAAGTAATTGCTTGTATTTGAACTGGTTTTGCTGGGGATAGTGACTTTCTCCTGGAGACCCTGATAAGGTTTCTGGAGAGTGAATTATCGCAATGTGCTGGCTGGAGTCTGAATGAACAACTAGATATGTATGAACATAGAAGTAGCTGAGTTTTGCTTTCACTTTTTAAACTTTCTCTATCTAATTCCACACATCACCGTGTCAGGAGACACTGAGGGACTGTTAGAGTCACACTGTGGCAGCATGAGCAGCGTCACAGGCTAGTTGCTCAAGTATGTACCAAAGGTCCTGAGCGGCATTACACATGGAAGTTTACCCTGTGCCAACATCCTGGCTACCACAGCTAAACTGTTGTAGTTACTCAAGCTAGCTTGTACATGTGCTGCAAGCACACCTCCCAATTGCAGTCTAGACATGCCTATGAGTATCATTTTTAAAAGGATGGAAAAACCACTTAGCACTGCTAATGTCACACTATTGAGTTCTCAGTTTGTTTCAATCTCCTAATTGCTACCTCCTGTTAAACTCCAAGGGGCAGAATGGAGGATGGCTCATTGTTCAGATACCCAGCAGGACGGCAGCCATCCTAAGTAGATCTGGTTGGAATTTGTCAACAGAATTAAGGGTTCTGTCTAGGGTTGCCAACCCTTCAGGATTGTCCTGGAGTCTCCAGGAATAGAAATTTAAACTTTAATTAAAGATTATGTCATGTGATGAAACCTCCAACTGCCAACTCTTTAGGAATTAAAGATTAATTTTAATTAAAGATTATGTCACGTGATGAAACCTCCAGGAATACGCCAACCAAACTTGACAACCCTAGTTCTGTTAAACAATTGTTTTGGAAATTTGTTTTGCTCAAAGCAGGACCAATTCCCAACTAAATCATCCCAGCCAGGGCTTTGTCAAGCCAGACCTTAAAAACCTCTAAGGATGGAGATTCCACCACCTCCCTAGGTAACCCATTCCAGTGCTTCATAACCCATCATAGTAATAGATTAGAACAAATGATGTATTTGTAGGTTCCCCTCCCTCAGCCCCACTTTTTTGGGTACAGTAACTCTGCACTTAACGTAGTAATGTCCTGAAAAATGCTGCTTTAAGTGAAACGATGTTAAGCAAATCTAATTTCCCCATAAGAATTAATGTAAATGGGGAAAGCGGGGGGGGGAGGGGGAGGTTCCAGGGAAATTTTTTTCGACAGACAAAAGACTATATACACACACACACACACACAACCACAATATAAATTTTAAACAGTTCAATACTGTACACAGCGATGATGATTGTGAAGCTTGGTTGAGGTGGTGGAGTCAGAGGGTGGGATATTTCCCAGGGAATGCCTTTCTGCGAAATGATGAACTAGCATGTGGCTGAGCCTTCAGGGGTTAACTCCCTCCCTTCCCCCGCCCTCGCATAGCAAGCAGGAGGCTCCTGCGAGCAGGTCCAAGGCAGAGGGCAGGAGCAGCACATGGCAGTGGGGGCAGGGCAGCTGAACTGCCTGGGAATTGATAGCCTGCTAGATGGCTGTCACACAGGGAACTTAGTGGAGCTGATAAGGGGCTGCTGGTCACCCTAGTTCCAAATGCCCAACAGCTAGCTCTAACGGGCTGCTCTTTCTGCAAGCTGTGGACAAAGCAAGCGGCCACCAAAGAATGGTGTAAGGAAGCAATTGTGCAACTCTAAACGAGCAAGTTCTCAAATTGATCAGCAACGTAACAATGTTAACCAGGACGACGTTAAGTGAGGAGTTACTGTATTTTCCTTTTGCCACACTCTAATTTTTCAGAATGTCTCCAACTGTAGAAAAGTTGGAGAACAACAGAGGGAAAAGAGAAATTAACTGTGCCACTTGGTAAGGTTCTCAAACTCAAGGACACATTCAAAAGTGGCTGAGTGATCACATTACAGTATAATGTCAGGAGTAACACAAATTCCAGCCCAAGGGCTATTGAATGGTGAGGGGGTCAAGGAATGACAGGAAAGAATTGGTTGGAGGAGTGAGGGTGAGCGAGAAGTGTGAGAGAGCCGAATCTGCCCTGTAGGGGGCAGCAGTTCCACAGGACTGGTCTGTGCTGTAAAGTTACCTCAGCATAGCTACGTCCCTCAGGGGTGTGAACAATCCACATCCCAGAGAGACATAGTTAACTCAACCGAACCACCCACGTGGACAGCGTTAGGTGCACAGATACTGTGATGTGCAGGATGCAGCTGGAACACCAGAGGAACAGAAACTGCAGAAACTCGGGCTGTCTCTTCACTAGAAATGCTGCAGCTGTGCCACTGTAGTGCTAAGCACTAAGTAGCCACTCACTACAGTGAGAGGAGGCTGAAGAGAGCAGGGAGGTTTTTGTGCTGGTCTGTATCACTGTGTGAGAGGGGTGGTATAATGCTGCTGACAGTAATAATCTCCAGCATCGTCCGCTTCTACCCGGCTGATTTTAAAAGTGAAGTCAGTGCCAGACCCACTGCCGCTGAACCGGTCTGGGATCCCAGAGGGTCGAGAGTTAGTGCTGTAGATGAGAAGTTTAGGAGCTTGTCCTAGTTTCTGCTGGTGCAAAGCCATGTAGCTGCTAGCAGTGGAACTGGCTTTGCAGTTGATAGTGACGGTGTCTCCTAGTGACACTGAGAGGAATTCTGGAGTCTGAGTCACAAGGATGTCTCCTCTGGATCCTGCATGGAGAACAACATTAAAATAAAGGAACATAACGTCAATGTAAATCAAATGCAGTTGAATAAAGGGATGATGCAATGTTAGTGTCTTATTCTCCTTTTCAAAGTGTAGCTATATTCATATCTTCTGACACTTCTTATAATTAAGAGCTATTGTGGTCTCACGAAACAAACCCACTCGTCTATTTAATGTGATTTAGAACATGTCTGTCACTGGCAGTCAGGGATTTAAGAGCCATGGTCCTTGTTATCTACATCTTGGTAACAAATTATTTTAAGTTAACCTCTCCCCTGTTGCTTTCCTTACCCTGAATCCAGAGCACAGAGAGGCAGAGAAGTTGGATTTGTGAGATCATCTTGATGCTTCTAAGCTGAAAGAGACTGAGCTGAGGAACATAAAGCATTAACTTGTAACATTTATATCTGCCCCAGCTAAGGAACATAAAGCATTAACCTGTAACGTTTATATATGCTCTGTAGAGCGGGGAAATGTCACTCGGGTGGAAATATACAAAACATCTCTATGTAAATGTGCATGCCCTGTGGCCCAGTGTGGAGACTGCAGGGAAGGGGCAAATATCATTTAATGGCAGTGAGAGTTGCAGACAAGGATCAGGGCAGTACATGGCTCTTCTATTTTGTGCCTCTGAGTCTTCTCTCTCTTAGCATCAGTTTTAAACAGTGTAATGTGATTGCCTTCAATGGAGTTCTGATCTGCACTGGTGTCCATGAGATTAAGCTTTAGTTTGCCCATATGCTGTAGTGGGCTAGAGATTCCTGCACAAAACTCATTACAGTGATGATGAATTTTGTTTGTGCTGAACCCACCCAAGCAACACATGGACCCCAGGAGTGGAAATGTGTTTTTTACCTAAGACCGACCCACACAAACATTGTGGCATTTACAGAGAAGCTGAAATCTCTGTTTTCCAGTTTGCATTCTGCTTGGGTTCTCCTGGTAGCATTAGGGGACAAATGGCACACCCCCCAGCATTAGTAGCAGAGCAGGAGGGCTGCCTGTAGGAAGCTAGGAAAATGTGTGGATGACACAAAGCTATTTAAGTGAGTCAGGACCAGAGAGGACTATGACTAGCTTCAGAGAGACCGGAACAAGCCAGGGGAATGGTCAACATGATGGCAAATGGAATTCAGTGTATTGCACATTAGAGGAAAATAATTTAACTACTCATATTCTTTATAGATGTCTAAATTAATAATCATCATAGCTAAAAGCCCCATGGATAGCACTTTTCATCAGTAGATCTTAACTCAACTGTATCAGCTCAAGAAAGAACGGACGGAAGAATCCCATGCACTGCTACAGA